ATTATTTTCATATTTAGAACATAAAACCATTACAGTATCTAAGAGGGATTCGATACCAAGTAATAAGAGCTGTCTGAATTGCAATACAGTGTTTCAGAGATATAAAACTTTGAGAAACTGGAAACTATCACATTAATAAAAATAGAATATGTGAAATTATCCAATTCTTCTTTTACTTTAAAGTTGTGTTTTGCGTGGTGACATTTAAAACATTTTTGATCTTTGGAAGTCTCTTTTCTCTGCTAATTTCAAAATACTTTCTCTAACATAGTTAATGATACCTCTATTTATTATTCATTTTAGTTTGACTACTAATTAAGCTATCACTGATGTCTAAGTCTATAAAACAAAAACAAGAATCAACTCACATCAAATACTGGAGTAACTGAAGTTTCTCCTAATTTATCCCTTTAAAAATTAAGTTCATTTATTGACATACGGAAGAGCAGAGACGTACGTTTGAATTTAGAGACAAGAAACCAGATTTGAATGAACAATACAATATTTGATGTTTTGTGATTTGTTTATTTATTTTTTTACTTCATTCCTTCTAAGGCAAAGATTTTATGCCGTGCTTTCTTTCTTAATCAGCAGTAACTGCATCTGATCTGCAGTCACACTTTTGCTTTACACTGAGAGAGATGCACCATAATTGAGTAATATATTTTTTACTTTCTTCCCTGTGACTCTTGATGCATAGCATTCACTTTAATTCACAGTACAAAGTCCAATCAGTTCTAGTCATTGGTTTAAGTAAGTTGTGGCAATATTTTAGAGAATAACTCTATCAACTGCTGAACACTGATAATTCCCAGGAGACATTAATCAATTCATTACCATTCATATGATGACAAGAGGGGAGAACAGAATTTACAAAGATCTTTAAAGCCTTGATGAATCTTTTTGGTGGTCAGCAATATCTAAATTCAAAATCAAATTAAACTTATATTAGCATTGGCTGTCTTTCAAGAGAAAGGTGGGACTTTAGGACCCCCACTCTGCCTGACATACAGCATTTACAAATTGAGAGAAAAAAAGTATATATTCCAGAGCCCCCAAATTGTATCACTAACTAGAATAATCTTTAAATTCCAGTATAAGCGAATATGAAAGCACTCATTGGAATCGGTTAACATAGCTGTAAATTGTTAGCAGTCAATTATAAATAAATTGGGGACAGATTACTGTTTAGAATGTAGATAACAAACAGAGCTACTTATATAAAAAAGACAGGGTAAAATGGGATTCTTATGATAAGTGGAAACTTCTCCCTGGTTGACATTTAAAAACATGTAATGCACTTCTTTTCACCAAAATAAACCCTGGAATGGAAACTGCCCACACTCTTATGTGTCGAAAAGTAGGAAATTGCTTCCAGCAGCCACTCACCCCTCGCTCTGTCTGCTCTGTGGATCTCCCATCATGTGCACTCCCTGAGAATCCAAACATGCTGATGTGTACGAAGCAGCAGGGCGCACAATTTCCTATCGCAGTGCCTGGGAAGGAAAGCAGAACATATGCTTGAATATCCCAAATCATTTGTTAGAAGATGCATGTGGATCTAGATCTAATATGAAATTAATTTTTCACACACACTCGGAGCTCTGTAACCAGATTTTTACACAGTGGGTTATGATATTGTAATCCTTCATTCATGAGCCATGTGTTAGAATTATACTACTTGAATTATCAAAGTCATCTTGCTGTTCGAATGCCGCTGGCATTATATTTGAAAAAAAAAATCATAATCAAGTCTAGCTCCTTTAGGGGCGATGTTGATACTGCCCCTGCAGGTGGTACAATAGATGTTAGTTAGTGGCTCGAAGCTAATTTCTCTATTTCATGAATTTATGAAACATCATTTCTCCAAAAGATATTAGAGTTCTGGTAGACTCGCTTCCCCTCTCTCTCCCTCCCCTCTCTCTAACACACACACACACACACACACACATGTATGCTTTTGCCCACATACTCTATTACATTCCACCTCTCTAAAACTCCATTGGAAATAAAATTCAGTGAATTTTGAAAATTTGAAATATCTCAACAATTTTATTGAGGATTTATACTTAAGGAAGTCTTCAAACCTCCAGATGCTCAATTAAACGAGTCTTCTCTAGTGAAATGAGTCTTATTTAGTGTTTCATCCTCAAAGGGTTGTACCAAGTGTTTTACTGAACACCTGTTATAAACCAGGTATTTCTCTGGCATCCTGGTTGATCTCACTCAATTCTGACAGCTTTACAATATTGTAGTCATCTCCATATGCTAGCTATGTGAGCTGAAGGAGTGCTCTACATTGCCACGTATATTGTACATTTGTGTAACATGTAATTGTATGCATCATGACTGCTCCAGATCCTAGTCTAGTCTAGCCTACTTGAGTACTGACTTCGACAGACATCCAGAAGGTATGTTTATCATATCTGCATGTTGTATGAAGTGAAATCCACAAAGTAGATGAGAGAACCAGTATAAAGAAAACCCCTCATTGACTGGAATAACAGACAAATTAAACAGTTTATGTATGATACTGTGCATGTGTTAGAACTAAAGAGAAATATAATTAGAAAATGCATTTGCCCTAGCTTTACAGTGAATCACATGATAAGATTTGGAGTGTTGAATTGATCGTAATTTGTTGTATCTAGCAGGTTTAGAGCATTACTGAAAAGGATACTGTTTTCTTAAACTGGATTAATATACATGGACTATACTAATGAATTTAATGGTTTGGCTTTACATGGGGCTTGTCAAATCATATCTAGAGTTTTGCAACCAATTCTGGGCAGGAAACTTTTTAGGATGCATTGCTGGCGTGGAGTGTATACAAAGGAGATAAACTTGTACCTGGACCATGGCTATATGGACATCATTTTCTGTGTCAACTGGAGTGATGTGTATGAAAAGCAAGACAACTTAGGAAGCTGGGGGGTCGGGGGAGATGGGGAAAGGGACTGTGTGTGTTCTATGTATCTTCAAATATTAGAAAGACTATTATGGGGAATGGCATTCAATAGGCCAAATGTATGGAGATTAGGAGAAAAGCCTGACACGTTAAAAGGAAAATTGTAGCAAGGAAAAAATGTCCCACAATATAACAGATTGTGATGAGCTTCTTGTCCTTGGAAATGCATTTCTCATATTAATATTAAATTAAACTATTTGGTAGTTACTATTCCTTCCACTTTAAATACTTAAGATTTTATATTTAAAATGTAGAACAAAGTAGTGAAAATATAGCTTATGCATATTTTAAATACACAAAAGATGGCATTCCTCCTACTTTTAAAAATGGTTTATGGATATTATGGTGTTTTGTGGATATCATAGCAGGTATAACAACATAAGATTCATGAATATTGTTTACAAAAAAGGATCCTAATCAAACACAAGTTAATTTGACTTTATCTTTTTCTTTGGATATTAAGATCGAGGTGATGTTTTTCTGAATAAATGGAAGAAAAAGAAACATTTTACATTATTGTATACAATTAATGGCAACTTTTAATGTTAGAACTCAAGTTTTAAAGTTTTAATGTTAAAAATGAGAAATCATGTCCCCCCTATAATCCCTAAAAATTGAGTGCTCTATTTGTATATTTATTAGTCTGTTAGTTGTTATTATCTTTTCAATTGCTTATTGTTGTAAAAATATTTTTGACTTCTTAAGAGCACATTCTTTGAGGAGGTTGTAACTAGTGAGAGGAGTAGAGGAAAGAGCATTGGCCAATATATTTGAACATATCTATTTATTTTCAAAGACTTACAAGTTAAATCCTCGAGAATGTGATTCATAACTATACTCAGATGTCATGCTGGCTTTGATATATGCTTTCACTTGGCCTCACTGAAGATTATGTCATATAAAGAAAATAAGAAATAATATTATTAACAGAATGATGATAGATAAAACATGTGATTTAAAAAAAATTTGTTTTTCAAAATTTTATTTCATGCTGTTTGTGGCTTTTTTTTTTTGCCCTGCCCATCTTTTCCCTAGGGCTATGTGATTTTGTGAAGAATTGCCACATACTTAAAACTTTTCCAAATCTCATAGCCATGCTAGATGTATGCTGGAGATATGGGTACAGCCAGAGATGGCAAAGTTATTTCAGTTTTATTTACCAAAATTAGAATTGAAAGGATAAGATCAATATACTAGAGAAGAAAAAAAAGAAGAAATAGAATCTTACATTTCCCTATGAATTGATTAACTAAAGAGATGAACAAAATTAATTGTATTTATGTTTGTGTGGATCTGATAATAAGAGTAGTGACACAAAACAAAAGGCAAAACCTACCTTCTTGAAATCAAAGATTTATAATAGATGAGCAACATCTTTCATTTTGACACTGTCCTCAGATTTGGCTCATACTTTTGTTGTTTGTCCTTTATTGAGAATCCTCAATGTCTGACACTGTTAAGACAGTTCTATAAAAATCTGAAGTCTAGTAGTAGACAGGCATGTTAAAATAATCAAAACAGTTTTACAAATAGACTAGAGGTATGTGTAAAAAGACTTGTCACTCATTCTGATTGGGGGGCTTGGAGAAGTCAGTGAATGGAGATAAATTTTGACTTGTGTCTAGAATCTGGAAGGATAAGAAGTTTGCCATGCAGTGAAGGTAGGGCAGAATATTTCAGACAAAGGGAATAAGAAATGCAGGGAAAAAAAAGACAGGTGAAATAGCACTGACTTGTAAAAAAGTTTGATTTGGTATAAGTGCCAAGAAGTAGGTCTCAAAAGTTTTACAAGAAGATCAAGACACAGTCAAGACAAATAACAAGAAATTTACAATCAGAGTGACATGGGCATACAGGTATGGAAGAAGATGACTCTGGCAATTTTTATTCAGCAAAATGAATTAGAAGACTATCACAAAATCTAGTTCTAAATTGATGAGGACCAGAGTGACAAATGGCAGTAGACCAACATGATCATTTTATTATTTTTACCCTCTGTGCCCTCAGAGGAATCAAAAAGAATTGCATTTTAACTGGAGTTCAGTTCCTCTCTATAGACTCAAACTTCCACTCCTCTTTCTTCTTTCCATCCTCCCAAATATTTCTGAGTTTATAGTCTATCCCCAGTCATGTAGGTGGTAGAGAACCAGTAGTGAGCAAAGTAAGGAAAGAGTGACACAAAGCTTTGTAACTTTGTGTGTGTTTTTTTGGGGGGGGTGCTGAACAAGATTTTGCAAATTCAATAAAAATTTGGAATAAACAAATACTTGACCAACAATGAAATGCCAGTCAAAGATAAATAACAGGTCTTATGTAAAAGTTCAACATGGAGGGTGGGGATTCCTGTAACAATATTATTGTTATTCAAATATTTCTATTGGAGCACAGCATACGAGCAAGAAAGCTAGATGGGAAAGTAAACAGAATGAAAATGGAAAATTCTACCCTTTCCAGTCCAAGAAATCTGTGTTCAAATCTCATCTATATTGCTTTCAAGCAGTAAAATCCTAGGTATTTTGACTTACCATGCTTTAGGTTTTTGTTTCTACCTTGAGAGACTGCAAAAATAAAACAAATATTGGATTCAGCCTCTGGCCAACTGTAGGCCTTCAGCAAATGTTAGTTATGACAGTGGTGGTGATTAAGGTTCTGTTAGGACAAGAACACTATTAAAGCTTCTCATTTTGTTACTACAGTTAATTATCAAACTCAGCATTAACTTGATACATTAAAATCACCTCCTCAGTTGTTCCATTTTCAGTAAGAGAGCTGAAGCTGTGATAAAGAACATCTCTTGGTGGACAGCCATGGACCATGACTGTCAACTGCAGGTCAGATTGGAAAAGACACAGGATCTATGGTTATTTTCAAGGGAACTCATGCATGAAAATGTATGGTTTGATTGAATCCAAAACTGACTCCCTAGTCAGCTCATCCAGACCTATTTAATCACATATTTTATTCTCACAGCAAAACATTGTTGTATGTATATCTACAAAATCTGTATATATAACTTTAAGAAAGATTTCAAGTGTATATTTATTATGTTAATTTATAAGTCCTTCAAAGAGAACCAGATTTTTCTTATGTTTTTAGCATTCTTAGCATGGTGCCTGGCAGATGGAAGGCATCTAATAGATACCTGTTCACTAAATCCAAAATAAGCTTTATTTTTTCCCAACTTCTCCTTGAAGCGGACAGAAGTGACCAACTGGAGTCAATCAACTGCTGCCATATTCTCATACCACATGTCCTCTAATCATTCTACATAACAGTGAGTATTTTTTGTTTTTTGGGTTTTTTTTCTCGCAAGTAGATTTCAAATGGCCAGCATTCATCTTTGGTCCTTACTCCCTCTGGATTCACATCTGTGGTGTTCTTTCCTCACACCACGACAGAAAACCACTCCACACATTTTGGTTTCTACAGTTCTTAATTACTTTTTGTCTTTCACAGGGTTAGTATTCCTCAGATAAATGTTGAAAATACACAAAAGGAAGACAAATTAGTATATTTGAGTATACCCTTCTGTAAGACAGTAGGAAAACCACAGCCAATGATTTCAAATGATTGTAGGATTACATACAATTGTATATTATCTTCTATAAAAAATTTCATGACTTGAAAATGAGTTAGTATTAGCAAAATTCACCATGTAAATAAACGTAATTATAAAACTAATTATAGTATTTTGTCATGGTAAAAATTACCTAATTTGCCCAGTTGTACTGTTATCTTCATAGACTAATATTGAATTTAGCCATGCTAAATTTGCACTGCATATTACATTTTAGCAGCAGCTTTAGGAACCCATTATTAACTGTCAGATGTCATATTATATCAGTGAAATTTGAATCACTCATTACATTTTGGCGTTTGTATTATGACAGTAAATCAGTCTAGGAAAACTATTTGAGAGTCATTTTCACTTTAGCTAATTTATCATTTAAATAATATCATACATTTTAGCAATCAACCAATTATATTTATGTGAATACATACAATAAAGTAAACTTTTAATTAATCAGAATCAAATTAAGTGAAATCTATGTTATTTATTCAGCCAGCCCTTTACAAAAATAACTGAATGCTTTTAACATTTGATTTTCAAAAGAAAAAATGAAAGAAGAATAAAAACTAATATTTGGACTTTTTCCAAAAATTGATAATACTTGATAGCATCAGAATATATTCATCTTGGTGTTCTTTACTTGACCCTTACAGATTTGTATTTTAAATGATTTTTGAAAGGCTTACTTTTTGGCAATGGCAAACTCCAAGTCATCAAAGAAAGATTATAGCTTGATAAACTTTCCTTGCTGATACATTTTGGATATACTTTTGAATGTCATGGCTTAGCAAATTATTTCTCCATTATTCAGCACATTTCATGTTTCTAAGCTTTTGAAAAAAAATTGTAGCTCTTCTCATCACACACCCATACCTCTGCTTGGTCTTTTACATTTTATGATTCATATAAAAATATTAAATCATACTCTATTTAATAACTCAGCATTATACTCTGCAGTCTCCCTAAAGGGAGGAAATATTACTTAGAGATAAGCAATTAGGTATTTTAAATATTTAGATCCCCAAATATCATTCTGCAGTCTGAAACTCTCTTATTGAGACAAATTGTTCCCTAGTTCTGCATCCATAAACATCACCAGAAAGAACATTAATAATCATTAGGTATGTGCCTCCATGGAAATTGGAAATAGTTTAATAGGATTTTAACATAAGTGAAGACCAACCATAGCATACACTTCACTACGGATCCTCAGGGTCTGAGAGAGAACCACTATCAAGTAACAGATCACTTCTCTTTTGGTTTTCTCTTTCTTCCCATGTGAGTTCAAGAATAAAAGGTTCAAAAAGAAAAACTGGGCTAGCAACCAGACCTATTAAATGTTGAACACAAAAATTGCAGCACAAGGGCGTGGATTTGAATATTACCAAAAACAGTGTGAGAGCCATTCAGATCCATTTCAGGGAGTTTTACTATTAATATCCATTGTCTTAGAATATTTGTATTTTGCCTTAGGTTTGCTGGATTTAAAAAATGCCAGAAACTTTGTATAATTCTCTACAGTGAAATAGTGATATCCACCTACAAGTGAGCAAGTCCCACCTCCATTCCTCCCAAGATTGTATCTCCTCCAAAGAGTGTTGGTTGTAGAAATGATTAAATAGAAAAAGAAGACCATTTAACAAATACATTCCTTTTCTTTTCTTCTTTCAGTATCCTTGTTTCCCTTTCCTTCCCTCTTAGCAAAGCAATCTATCCCACATATTCTATCTTCAGTATTTTTTTTAATGTAGTAATGGAAAGTCCCACTTTTAAGTGAACATTTGTAATAAGTTAATGAACTTGAAGCAAAATTTAAGGGTGGCCTTTATTTCTGTATAGGCTGCAGAAATTTCTGGCTCAAACCATTTTTTTTTTTGAAAACAGATAAGGGTATACATTCAAAGGATGTATTTTAAAAACTCAACCACTCAAGATTACTACATTTCAATTTTGGATCAATTGCCGTAATTCAAGAGTTTACTTTGGAAGTAACTTGAAAGAAGCATAAAGTGAAAACAACCTCTGCTACAATGCATAGCATTTACAATAATAGCATTTTGAGAAAGAAATGGACACTCCCAGCACAGCCTGCATCCTTCTCTGTGCTGTACATCAGGCACCCCTACGCAATAGGGAAGATATTTCGTGATGTTTCTTGGCAGAGACTCCCTGCAAGTTATCTGTATTGACTGATGCTGCTGACTTATGAAAAAGTCAAGGAATTAAAACTGCCCCTATAAAAGAAAAGTTAATAAGGATCAAACAACATCCTTTCTATCCATAGATTTTAATTATTTCTCAAAACTATTGAGTCATTTTGGTATTAAAACCATTGCAATTTGTAATTAAAACATGTAAAGATATATTTAAAACTGTAAAGAAACATTTAATGACATACATCATTCTGGATTGAGTGCTCTGTTAATACATTCTTCTGTGAGGCAAATGCACCCGGCTACCTGAATTGCCCATTGGTGAGCTTCATGAGCACAGGGGACTTTAATGTGCCTGTAATATGCTTAAGAGTAAATTATTTTAACCAATCTTTTGAAATTAATTTTAAAGCCCTTTATCACGTTCCCAAACTATTTAATTTTTTTTTTTAGGGAAAAGATTTAAAAAAACATTCTAAAGACTCTGTTTTCATATACATTTAATTTTTAACATATCTGCAGAACCCAATCAGAAGGATTTGTTTTTAAGATCCTGGCTCATTCCTTTCCCGAGTATTTGTTCTTGTTCTGTTGCTCTTGTGCTTCCTCCAACTTTCTACCATGACAAAGTGATTGAGGACATGTGTTGTGTTTTCTTCCTTAGCAGTTTTGTTCAGCAACTGTTCTTTTTTGGTACTTCCCAGGCAATTGGTCAGCTTTCAAGTTCATTTGTATTTTTACCACGACACACAAAATAAAACCTTCTCGGATCTGATTAATGCTCACAGTTTAACTTGTGAAACACAATAAACAAACAAGCAGTGCAGGCTAGCCACCTGCAAAAGGCTGAAAGAGCCTCGTGACTGTTGGGAGAGAGAATTGCCTGAGAAATTTGTAGGCAGGAAAACATGGGCTCTGCCAACTCTGAAAATGAGTTTGCTCACAAATTTTGGGTGGAGTTAAATGTCAATGAATGAACTAGAGTCAATGTCCAGATATGCTGTGGATATGCTTTGGTAGTGACATGCTGAGATCTGGAGATTGAATTGCCCACAATCACTCTTTAATTAAATGATTTCAAGTGTGACAACAATGCAAAGGAGAAACAACTAGATTTTAGAATAAAGTTGTTCTTCTTTCAAAACACCAAAGATCTGCTTTTCAATCTTCCCAGTCCCCCTTTTTGAGGAGAGGGTGGTGCATGGAGTGAGTCTCAGAAACTGAATGGCCCAGTCACCAAAGAATCTCAAAAACGTTCCCATTGTTACTAAGAAAATGAGAAATACCAAACAGAAAATTTGCACTTTAATTTCCAATAATTTTATAAAGTGCTTTTTGTATTATAATTTCCTATAATGTTCTATAGTGTCAAGTTTCGCTGGAAATTGTGCATGTCCCATAAGTCATACAATGTCTCCTTCTTCTTCTTCTTCTTCTTCCCCTCCTCCTCCTCCTTCCCCTTCCTCTTCCCCTTCTTCTCCTTCTATTATTATTATTATTATTATTATTATTATTATTATTATTATTATTATCGCTACTACTACTAGGTTTTATCACAGCAAGTCCATTTCAGAATGGTCTTAACCATAGTTTCATTTTGGAAAACCTGCACTCAGTAAGCTGGGTTCCTGGGATTTGTCTCAATGGTCATTGGCTATTTCTTAGGCAGTATGCTAAATGCTTTTCGCTTGCACTATTTCAGTTAATCCTTAAAACCCAATTCAGAGTTGGTTATTATTATTACCGCTGTTTTACAGATGAGCAGACTGAAGTCTAGAAAGGTTAACTAGCTTTCTAAGGGTTACATGACCAGAGAGGACAGAGGCAGAATTACACTCTAAGCAGTCTGTTTTCAGACCTTGTTTTTTGTTTGTTTTTGTTTTTTTTACAACCTGACTCCAGCCCTGTGAGACAACTAAATTAACCTCTCAGTAGGAATAGCTACATATGTGAATAATACCAACTACTATTACAGAAATAGGGTATTGTGACTTTAGAAATGTGACTTTCAACATCCCACTGTTAAAAGAGATAAATTATTGTACAGATAAGAATTTCTTGGGAGAGAGTATAGCTTAGTGGTAGAGTGTGTGCTTAGCATGCACAAAGTCCCAGTTTCAATCCCCAGTACTTCTGTTAAAAAATAAATAAATAAACATAATTACCTCCTCCTCCCCCCAAAACAAAACAAAATAAAACAAAACAACAACAACAAATGACTAGGAAAAAAGGTTTCTTACTTGTGGTGGGCTGCTAAAAACATACCAAAATAAAAATTGTATTTGCCCAAATGCCTAAAAATATATAAGTAATTTTCTAAAGGTTCAGTTTTTCTTTCATTATGGTTTCTCAAAATCTTCTTGTTTGTCACGATTTTTTCAACTAGAATGTGCGGGAAGATGACAAAATAGAGTAGCAAATATGTACTAATTGAAATCCTTGAACACAGCCATGATGCAAGTCACGTGGGAATTCTTTCTTGGTGGAGATGGGCCTCATTTCATGAATGTAGATCTCTCGTATCATACGGTATGGTAATAATTTCTCTTGGCAAATGATTCCATGTTTTACATTAAGAAAATTACTGGCTTTAAGGGATTTCCAGAGTAGCTGGGAAGCAAAAGTATGGATAGCTCATAACAATACAGAGTGACAAATGCAATGAAAGCTGTGGGCAGAGAGTCTGCCCTGTGTGCAAATGAACCAACCTAGTCTGGAGCATCTTAAGAGACATTTTGAGAAAGGAGACTCTCAATGGAAACTTAATGAGTGTGGGAAACAAAGAATGGACTTCATTTGCTTAGCAGTTTACATTTCAGTTAGCTTAAAATCATGAATAAAAAATTAACAGCTAATTTTATTCACAGTCCTCAATAAAAACAAGCAAGACTAAAGACACCTCTCAATACTAACTTCTAGGAAAGAGCTACATTTAACAGCCATGTAAGCACAGGTTCTCTGAACAGAAGAATATAGGAGTCCCAAAATAGGCAACCATGTAGGGAACTTAAGTCCTTTGTTTCTCTGTAACAGAAGAAATTGACAGCAATTTTTTTTCAATTCTCCAAACCACTATATTTAGTATGCTTTACAACACTGTACCTACTCGTCATAAACACAGGGAACTGAATAAATTCTTTCTAGGCTTAAAATCAGACTTTTTCTGGAGTAATTCTTTTTTGAACATACTCCCTTTTGAACTAATAGAACCCCTACAAGATACGAAAAAAAGTGCTTCAACATGCACCTTTCTCTAAAGACTGTTAGGTATTAGTAACTGAGGTCTGACAACATATTATTTTAATGGCTACAAAGCTACAGTGAAGGCAATAGAGCGATGCTGTTAATACCGTGTAGAATAGCATTGCTGTGACTAATAGCGATGTATTGCTTTGAAGTTGAGTGCAAAACAGACAATACATGGATATGTTAGGGCCCATGATTGGTAATAGAATTCTCCTTTTGTTTTCCTTTGCCATCTTCCTTTTACAAAATGAGATTTTGCAGGCGTTAAAGAAAAATAATTCAATGACGCTCATTAAGGATATTAAGACAGACTATTCAGGGCTACGGCCTGAAAATAGGGACCACTGCAATGGGGTTTTACAGTGGGGGAGAGAGACTGGGCTCAACTCCAAATACAGTATGCGCACATGGGAATTTTTAGCTAAGGATCGTGGTGTGGGCAGTGGATGGAATATTGCCCAAGAGAAAAAACATCAGGCTAAGGCGAGTTCTGGCTAAACCATCCTAACAGGATTTTGGCTGAAGATCGAGCAGGACATTCAGGTATTGAGTGATCAGGGCGATGGTAAAGGATGAGGAAACCGAGCAGATATCCAGGCAGGTCAGGTGTTGAGACTGAGGGGGGTTTGTTAAACTGACTTAGCAGGGTCCTTGCTAAAACTGAATTTTTCAAAAAAGTGTACAGATGGTTCTAGGAGAAGATTCAGGAAACTGACTAAAGTTTGGTCAAGCAAAGAATCTTTGTCACAAGAAAGGAAAGGATATAAAAGTTTACAATGATTTTTTTTTCTTCCAGATTCTTTAAATCCTTCAAATCCCAGGTAGATTTGAATTTCTTTCCCTGTTCTGTGATGTAGTAAATGATAATGTATCAAGTATAATGTCAGCATTATTTCTTTTATTTAAAAGCAATTCCATTTTATTTATTTATAGACAAGTTAAGCTCTGGAAATATTAAAATACTTTCCAAAGAGTTGAAAATAATGAGGGAATTGTGTGTAATGGGAACCACATGACTCACTGGAGGCACTCAGTGTCCAGAGTGGAAGAGCCTTTGACTGATGAAGTAGATCGGCTTTATTGACTACATTATTAAATACGAAATCTATTAAACTCAAGTCCAACCTTTCCCCCCTTCAAATGTTAACATCAGTGCCAAGGCGAGAGTAAAACTCATGACATTTAGAAAGGAGAGAAAATCAGATGAGATTTACCAGAAAGAGGATATATAAATAATTGAATAGAAATGTCTGAAACAATGCCGCTCTTTTAGATAATGTGTGACAAATATTTCTCTACTTTCTGATGGGAAAAAGTTTCTAACAGAGGGCTCAATCAGTTGTTCCTTAGACACTGCAATCAGGGTAATTTTGGAGGCTTCCTTCCAAGTTCTGATTTATCACCCCAGTATCCCAAGGGCCCTCCATGTGATTGCCTTGGCACTGATATTTATGCTGGATGAACTCAAAGTGCCACACTTAACTCCGTGTTATCCTTCTTTAGGTCACAAGAGTGCTATCTTTCAAGTACATTTGGGTGATTTTCACACCATCCCATATCTCACCCACACTCGAGATATCTCTGCTTTGAAACTTAGGAGTCCACTATGCCTGTAAATAAAATTCAGCAAGTCTCAGTAAACACTTCTTTTCCCAGCTGGGATGCCCGTTCACAGAAGAGGAAAGTCAGGGCACTGAAGTGGGAGAAATCAGTGCACTGGCTCCCTGTACCAGCTTCACAGCTGTGTCGCGCTTTCCTTTAGGGGTCCAGGAAAATGTAGCTTTTCATGCCTGATACTCTTTCTATTACTGTTATCTACCCTCTTCAGAGGTGTAAAGAAATGACCTTTCCCCTGGAAACGCCAAACTGATTCTTTCAGAGAGACTGCCGTTGCCTCTAAAGAGAAGGCTTCTGTTTTATTCTTTTGAAAAATCTGCCATTGCAATCACAGGTAAAGTACTTAGCTGGAAGAAGTCAGTGCCAGGAGTCTCCAATGTCCACTTACTCTCACCACGGGGGACGGGGGTTGGCCACCCCCTTGCCGCATTCAAGCTGCCGGAGCGCTTCTTGTATGCTGATGTCTTTAGAGAGTGAGACCTTCACCGTCCTTATTTACATTCTTAAAGTGAGGCTTTTCTTTCTGCTGCAAGTTTGCAAGCTGACAGCTCTGGAATGTGAGTTTTTCCGTGTCTTTTCAGATCAAGTACAGTAGTGCTGACAAGAGCTTCCCGTACTGTCTCATGTTAGTTTCTGCAAAACTTGGGCTAGAAACTGGTGTCAACTCTGCTCACCAGCTAGCTGGATCCTAGGCCAAAGGCAGCAACCTTCCCCAGCCCAACAAGGTGTAGAAGTGGCCGTGCACCATGGGCTGCTGCCCATGCCTGGCTGCTTTTTGATATAGTGAGTTCTCAGGGACAGTGTGTTCATTGATAAAGCTGAAGATGAACAGTGAAAAGATTCTCCTTTGTGATCCCTTGCCAAAAATAGATTCTACTTAGGACTTATTGTTAGATTGATTGAGGCATTGGCATTGTTGGAAAACGGAAATTCTTTACTTTGGGAACCTTGACACTATCACTTTCCGGGTATTTGCATAATGTTAAATGACTGGCCAACTCTTGATTTCCACATATACTTCTCTGTAATCCAATCTACTCTGTACTGAAATAGACAGAGGATCTAAAATGCATCAGGTCATAATAAAACTAGGCTGTAAATGCTTGTAAATTTTTAAAATTTGGATATCCATTAAATCCATTATATTCAAATGGGTTTGTGCATCCTTAAATTATAACTAAACATGTTTTATCAGTAGGATTGTATTGCCTTAAAACCAAAGGGTAACAAAGCAATCAGCAATTATCTGACAACTACCACCACCACGTGTTCCTATATGTACGTTCTCCTTAGATTATATAGTTATTCTTTTACTGTGTTTTTTTCAAAATAATTTTGAAATTCCTATTTTAGAAATGTTTTTACAATCAAGTTAGTAATTAATACAAGAAAAAAAAACTACTTCACTTGATTGCTTTATATTTCAGCAGAAACAGCATTACATATCAGTTTAATTATCAAATTTCTTCTCTAAAATCACACTCAAATGATTTTTGTTTGTGCCCTAAAACACATGCAGACTTCCTGTTCCTGAGAGTATTTAAAAGGCTTACTGTAAAACTTAAAGATAGTTGGAAACCACCTAAGTGTTCATTGATGGATGAATGGATAAAGAAGATGTGATATATATTTACAATGGGATACTACTCAGCCATTAAAAGAGAAGAAAATTTTGCCATTTGTGACAACATGTATGGGGCTTGAGGATATTATGCTAAGTGAAGTAAGTCAGACTAAGAACGGCAAATACACTGTGATTTCACTTATATGTGGGATCTAAGGAACAAAATAAACGAACAGATGAAACAAAACAAAAACAACCTCATAGATACAGAGAACAGATTAGTGGTTACCAGAGAGCAAGAAGGGGTTTGAGGGGAGGGTGAACCAGGGAAGGGGATCAACTGTGTAGACTTAAGGTGATGAATCACTTTGTAGTATGTACAAATATCCAATCATAATGTTGTACACCTGAAATCTATATAATGTTTTATACCAATGTTGCTCAGTTAAAAAACTCTTAAAGACATTTTTTATAAGCTATTGCATAAGACTAACTCATCTACCTAATCTAAATTTTATCCTTAATCTAAGTTTTAAGCTAAAGTATTGGTCAAGTGTTGGAACTTCGAAGGCTCTTCTCGTTTAAATGCAGACGTTAAGAGAAGTCAATAGGAGGACATGACTAGCAAAGAAACAACAAATCAGAGTGCTTTTTTAGGACACCAAAAAGGAACTGTCAACAATGCTGGGATAGAGATCTGAGTGTCTGGCAAATAGAAAGTCTTCTGATAAATGAAATGCACTTCTGATTTGGACATCTAATTAGTAACTTGAATATGGAAGAGTTTTGTTTATGTGCTCCACTTTTAAATGCATAAACTAGCAAAACAGCCCTTTGTTGTTTTCCATAAAAATCATGATTTATGAAGCTCACATATTCAGGAAAGTAATACTGATAGAACCATATATGAATGTCTTTGTTTTGAAAAGATCTTTGAACTCTCTGATATTCAGAACACTGGGTAGTAGACTCCCCAAAGCTCACTTTTCACTAGTAATTATTATCAAATATTAAGTCAAACTATGCAGTGATTGTATAGACATAATAAAGCTGATATGAGACATGCCTGATGAGGCATTGTGTCCACTCTGAGCCAGATCCTCTTCTAAGCCTTAGGAAACAAACATCATTGGAGGCAGTTACCTGGTCAGGGAGGCAAACACACAAACCAGTAATGAAAGCATGTGAGAATTTTGAAAATAAAAAGCCTCTGAGAGCTCTAGGAACAGAAAAGACTTGGCAAACTCTGTCCTGAGACGACTGGTAACTAAGGCAGAGAAAAGTTCAAAAGTGTGTTGAAATCTGATCTGATTCTTAAAATACAGAAGAGGAGTCAGTCAAAAGAAGAAGAGATTTCCAGACAGGGGAAGCATATGTGCCAGCACCCATAGGCTTAATATAAGTATAAGCAAGTCAGTGTGGCTCGATCCAGTGGAGTGGGGTGTGAACGTGGCAAAAGATGGATTTGGAAAGATAAGACTAGACGTCCCAGACAACCTTTATGCCAGACTAAGGAACTTGGACATTTCACCTGTGACAACGAAAGACAATGAAATAATTTAAGCATTTTTATAAGTATCAAATATGATTTCCAGGAAAAAAAAAGTCACTCTAGCAAATGTTGAAAGTAGCTATCTTATTTTTTGCTCAGTTTTAGGGAGCTGGTTAATTAAAGGGGTACATTCCTAAATACAGTCTCCTCCAGGAGAGAAAACAAAAGAGAAAACAAATCAAATTAAAAATACATCAACTTATCTTGTTTAAATTTTACAAAGAGGCAGAGGTGACTTTAATAATGTAATTGTGCTATTCATCCTAGTAAGGATATTATTTGAAAGGACCATTGACTAATTGGGTTGAAAGAAGGGTCCCATATGTTCTGGTCATCCCAGGACTTTGATGGGGTGATGTTTCCTGATTTATTAGGTGCAAGATAAGGGATAAGTGGCTCTTTTATCAAGGGCCTGTTTTTGGCTTTGCCACTCAATTTGAGGTTCTGGGATTATTGTTATGGACACGGCAGATATTTCCAGTCTGTCTATGAGTTTGGAAGAGGAGATGCTCTGCTTTCAGTGTGTGGATCATGTTTCCAAAGATACAACTACAGAAGAAACTGGTCTTTGAAGCTTTAATGTTTATTACATTTTTTCCAATCTAATAATAATATATAATCTGAAATCACTCATCTAGTCAGAATTGGATAGTTATAAGTAAACAAAAGAGGAGGAGGATGACAAGGAGAAATGAACATACAGACCAAAATGAAGAAGGGCTATGTTTAAACCTCTGATGCGTGATCTATATTTTATACCAGGGTATAAATAGGCCAATATGAATGAAGGTCTGTATGCATTTCCCAGTTACCCCTACAAGTTGCTGCTTCCATCAGAAGAACTTTATGCAGTGTACAAGCAGGGCAGCTGTTTATTCCCCGGATTGCTTTCTGGTTACTGAATATCCTTTTTCCTCACGTCTTCCACCCGGGCTCCCTTATATATTGCTAATCTGTAAAACTAACAAAAGATCTTGACTGCTCATTTATTTCTAAGGGATTTTGGTAAACCAAATGTATCAATGGAATGATGCTTATTTGTCCCAAGGCAAAGTCATTTGACCTTCAAAAGTCAGAGAGAGATTGTGAATTTACGATAAGGCACAAGTCTCTCAAGAGCCTTTGACCTCCTTAAAGACTTTGCTGTAAAATATCAGGAACACTCATATCTCGGAATTCAAGACATGGAGAATCTACCATCTATGCCAGAGGGGCTTAATTGGTATGATTAACTTGAAAAACAGAAACTTAAAGTAGAAAAAAAATTAAGATTAAAATACTTTCTAATGAAAAGGATGAAAGCTTAAAAGGTTTAATGTTGATACAGGAACTGTTAAATTTCTTATATTCAGTTATGTGCAATTTTTTTTGGGGGGGAGGTAATTAGGTTTATCTATTTATTTATTTTAACTGAGGTACTGGGGATTGAACCCAGGACCTTGTGCATGGCAAGCATGCACTCTACCACTGACCTATACCCTCCCCCCTTATATGAAATTTTTAAAAGGAAAAGTTTTATTAATTTTTACATGAAAAACAAAATAAATCTTCACAGTTATATGCCTCTCCACCCCAAGGTAAATCCCCTCCCCACCAAGGTAAGGGTGTGTGTACCTGGTTTTTAGGGGAAGATATGACTGTCAAAATAAGTTTTTGGTGGGGACACAGAAGTGTAGAGAGAGCAGGTGATCAGGAGTGTCATACCTGTGGCATAAATATTGCTGATATCTGTGTTAAGATTTCACTGAGTATCCATATTTACAATGGGCGCTCCACTCCCAACCCCATCTCTGGCTTTCATCACCTACAAATGTGGGTGCCTGTGGCAGTGGGGCAGAATCAAAGGGATGGGATGGATAGACTGCTTACGAAAATTTTAAGGGAGATTTTATTATGATGTTCTGCAGAAAGAGCAAGGAGAGAATGTGCGTTATTATCCTGTCTCTAAAGAAACACAGGGACAAATTATCATCCTATCATTGCTGCTATAGGTTTCAGAAAATACTTTCCAGGCATAAAATTATTATTTTCAAAAGAAGCTATTTATTGTGGCTGATAACCTACTTTCAGGTGATCAGAGAAACTAATTACCACTCTGTTTCATATTTATTCTCTAGATGTCTTCAATGCATTTGAGTTCCCATGGCTTCCATAAGTTAAAAAAAGATTGCCTCTAACTTTTGTACATTTCCCCTGATGTGCAGTGTATTTTACTCTTCTTTTACAATCTCTAAAATGGTGATAAAACATTTAATTTAAACTAATCTGTCATCTGTCAAACCTGTTTCAGTGTGCTAGAAAGTCCCAAAATAGTATCGCTTTTTTATGTTTCTATTTATACGTTACTGAAGTTAGTAAATTAGGTATTTATTATTGTGGGAAGTCAAAGGACTGAAGAAAATGCTCTATTCTTAAATTAGAAAGTAAAACAGCATTTACTAAGCCCAAAACCCATAATGATCATGCATTGAAATGATCCATCTTTTCCCATTTACATCTCTGTAGAGAAACCAGTGAACCATTATCATTACTGATTTGTGATTTATGATTTTATCTTTTTATTTCATCTTTAGATGAAATGTTTCACTTCTAATGTTTCACTCTCTCAATAAATCTTATCCATGAGAACAAATATCTCACTTTTACTGAAGTAGATAGGGCTATATGTGTCTATTTATGTTTATTCCTATTTAAATACACATAAAATTTCATTCTCTGTAAAGAGAACAGAAACAAGACAAGTACATTAACTAGGAGTTTGAATTTCCAGCTCAACCATGAAACTTGCTTTATACAAGTTTCTTAACTTCTCCAAGCTTTGTTTTTCTTTCTCCTTTTGTCTGCAAACTGGAGTAACAGTAATAATAACACTTAATGCATGGACTTACAATGAGAATAGGCTATATCTATTATATATATATACAGACAGGTAATTTTTATCTGGAATAATAGCTCAATTAATGTTAGCTATTATTTTAGTCCTGTGTCAGTTGAAAGCTGTTTATGTTTCTTTGAGAAGAAGTCTAGGGAAATCAGGAAGAGAGTGAAGGCTACAAAAACATAATTGTACTCTACAACAGTGGTCCCATCCTCGCTGAGTGGGAGGTTTGCACTTTGTCAGCACTCTGTATACATT